TCCCATTTACCATTGTGGCAAAAAAAATTAAGATCCTTAGGAATAAACTTAACCAAAGAAGTAAAAGACCTATTTGCAGAATACTACAGGTCATTGAAAATATATATATAGAGAGAGAAAGATATAAAAAAGAGGAGCTAAATAAACACTTTTCCAAATAGGACATACAAATGGCCAAGAGACATATGAAGAAATGCTCAACATCACTAATTGTTAAAGAGATGAAAATTAAAACAACAATGAGGTATTACCTCATGCCTGTCAGAATGGCCAACATCAACAAATTATCAAATAACAAATGTTGGCAAGGGTGTGAAGAAAAGGGGACTCTAGTACATGGCTGGTGGGAATGCAGATTGGTGCAGCCACTGTGGAAAACACTATGGTGTTACCTCAAAAAGTTAAAAATTGAATTGCTATTTGAGTCAGTGATCCCACTTCTAGGAATATACCCTAATAAGCCTGAAACACCAGTTAGAAATAATATATGTACCCCCATGTTCAAAGCAGCACTATTTACCAGAGTTAAGATCTGGAAACAGCCCAAGTGTCCATCAGTAGACGAATGGATTAAAAAGTTATTGTACATATACACAATGGAGTACTATGCAACTGTAAGAAAGAAAGATCTCTTATCCTTTGAGACACCATGGAGGGTTCTGGAGAGTATTATCCTAAGAGAAACAAGCCAAACAGAGAAAGACAAACATCACATGATCTCACTTATTTGTGGAATATAATGAACATAACAGTCTAAGGAACAGGGTAGACCCAGAGGCGTGGAAGTAGGGTACAGACTGACAATCCTCAGAAGAGGGGGTGAGGGGAAGGGAAGAGATAAACCACGGAACTTATATGCATGTACACATAACCAATGGACATGGACAACAAACCTGGGGGAATAGGGAGGAAGGTGTCAATGGGGAAAAAAGGAGAAACATCTGTAGCAAAAATAAATTAATAAGAAAAAAGAAAAGAAAGAAAGAAAAAATCAACCGCAAGTTAGATGAAGTAAAGGACCAAAACAGTGATTTGGAAAATAAGGAAATAGAAAACTCAGAAGCAGAGCAGCAAAATGAAAAAATAACAGTCATTTGGGAAATAAAACCCACAAAATTGTTTGGTCTGGCCCTGCCAAAGCAACCACAGGTAGGACTCAGAATTTAATAAATCTAGGAGCTTTTCATAGCAATATAAATTTAAGTAAAGTATAATAACAATGTAAATTTTGAGGGACAAGCAAGGAATGTCCATTCTGGGATAGACAGGACACATACGAGTACATGATGGGACAGACACATATGTTTCTTGTCAGATGCCCTTGGCCCGTCTGCCTGTATTGCAATGACTCAGTGGACAGTCAGTGCCAGGCAGGCCGGGAGTGTACACGCTGTGAAAGTGTTAACACACTGTGGTGAAACCAGCAATCCAGCAATGATGAGATGAGATGCAATGAGATGATTCCTTACGATGCCGATGACCTTGCCTCCAATGATTGACAACGATCTTGTCAACTTCTTTGTCAACACAGATGACAACTCCAATTCAACCTTTATCTACACATCCACAATCAACAATCCTCGCAAAAACGGAATCTCAGATGAGGATTAAGGAAATTACAGTACACAGAAAAGATTTCAAGAGTCGATGATACAAATGTTAGATATGTTCCAAATCTAAGATGCAGGATTAGAACAGCAATCAAAGCAAAATAATCGCATTGCTGGTGACACAGACACTGAATAGTTATTAAAACTTAAATGGTGTGACATCCTACAAATGGTGACTACAAAGAAAGAAAAGTTGATGCAGAGTGTTTATCTTTCCAAGAGAAATGGACAAATGATTATTTGTTTGTTGAAGCCAAAGGCAAACCTATGTTCCTAGTTTGTGGCAATGCATTCGCAGTAATAATAATTTTTTTAAAAAGCCAACGTGGAGTGTTGTTATAGCTCAAAACATGCTAAACTCAACAAACTGAGAGCCAAATAAGTCTGGATAAAATCAGTGCTCTTTAGTGGAGTTTGGAATCACAAGCCGCTTTCACTAGGCCTTATTGTGACGGAGATGTTATTCAGATAAGTTATGTAGTGAGCTAGCTAATCGCAAAGACGCTGAGGCCTTATGTAGAGGGAGAGTGTGAATGAGTATATGGTGGCTGCTGCAAAGTTGTAAGCAACAGACAAGGTAAAATTGTTTCAGAGTGTGAATTTGTCTTGGAGAACTGTCTCAGATTGGATTACTGACTTAGTACAAGTATTGAGAAAACACTGAAGGATTCTGCAGGAGATTTCCAATTTTTCTCTCTGGCCTGTGATGAGACAACGAACATAACAAATACTGCCCAACTGGCCATTTTTGTTCATGGGATAACTGCCGAGTTTGACACGCGAGAAGAATTGCTGTCACTGGAAGCCAATCATGGCACTGCAGGAGGTGAGGACTTGTTTGAGAGACTTGCTTTATCCATGAAAAACCTTGAGCTAACATTTGAAAAGTAGCCTTACTACAGATGAAGCTCCAGCCATGGTTGGCTTGCAAAAAGGGTTAATTGCATTTGTCAAGAAAGGACTGAATCACCTCAGTCTTGATCCAAGTTATCTAATTAAATGTCACTGCATCATACACCAAGAAAGTCTCTATGCACAGTCGTTGTGGCTCAACAATGTGATATCAACAGTAGTGTCATGCATAAATTTTGTCAAAAGCAGAGGGTTTAACAGATGTCAGTTTCAGGAGTTACTGAATGATCTTGACTCTGAGTACAGTGATCTTGTTTATCACTGTGAAGTGCAGTGGCTGTCTCGGGAACATGCTCATGAGGTTTTACAAACTGCAAGATGAAATCAAGCAGTTCATGGAGATGAAGGGAAAACCTATCAGGGAACTCAATGATAGCAAGTGGCTGTGTGATTTAGCATTCATGGTGGACATTACCTAGTACCTCTCAGAGCTAAATGTGAAGCTGCAGGGCCCAAACCAGCTTCTCAGCACCCTGCTTTCAAACATGAAGTCATTGCCCTGCCGGTTTGGCTCAGGGGTTGGAGCATCGGCCTGCGAACCAGAGAGTCCCGGGTTCGGTTCCCACTAGAGGCATGTACCAAAAAACAAAAACAAAAAACAAAACATGAAATAATTTGAAGCTAAATTAAGGCTGTAGAAAGTGCAACTTGAAAGCAATAACAGTGTATTTTCCCACTCTGGAAGGACAAAAGCCTTCTACAACCCTTGAATATGTTGGTGAATGTGTGAAACTAATCGAGGCATTTAATGGAAGATTCAAAGACATGAAAAGTAAACAAATGGAATGAAACATCTTTGCTACACTATTCAATGTGGAACCAGCTGATGTGCCTGATAAGCTACAACACGAAATTATTCAGCTGCAAATCGAATCATTTCAGCTGAAAGCCAGGTACAGCAACCTCACACTGCTTGAGTTCTATAAACATTCCATAAGCAATGATGAATTTCCCACTATGAGGAGACACACATTGAAATACACATCTGTGTTCAGAACAACTTACTGCTGCAAGCAGTTCTTTTTAAAATTTATCATAGCAAAGAGTCACCTGTGCCCCAGACTGACGGACGCAAACCTGGAAAAGCAGTTTCAAGTACCAACATCATCAATACCAGCTAACATCACACACATCACCAGAGAAGCAGTTCCAGCCATCACATTAGGGATGAGTTAATTAAACATTTGACCAAATATAGCAGGCTAATTTTTAGGTTGATAATTTTGTATGGCCCGCAAATGATGTTATAAATATCCAAATGGCCCTTGGCAGAAAAAAACTTTCCCACCCCTGTTCTAGAACCACAGTAATTACATTATTCTCACCAGCATAATTATGGTCAGTCTTCTAATCTTATAGTCAGCTGATTAGCAAAGGGCTGCCTTAATTCCTTTTCTATAAAAACTAACATATTCAAAGCTTTCAAAAATGTATTATTTGGTTTCATCGAAACCCTTATGAAAAGAACTAACAGAATTTACCACATCCTCTGGAGGAGAGAACACAGTCATGTGCTGTATAACAACACTTTGGTCAATGAGGCACCACATATAAATGGATGCTCCATATAGTTATAATGTTGCTGAAAATGTCTTGTTATCTACTGATGTCACAGGCATGGTAACAGGTTAGTGCCACACATTGCACACATACTGACTATCAGGTTACAGTTGCCTATTCAGTACAGTTACATGCTCAACAGGTTTGTAACCTAGGAGCTATAGGGGAACAGAATTTGTCACCCTAAAACATCTCTTTGTCCTAATAATTATTATAAGCTGGTTAATTTTAAGAAACTACAGACATGGGAGAAACTCTAAAAACCAAGTACAAATTACCCTTTATAAGGGACACTTACATTTGTAAGGAAAGTCTGAATTTGCAGGGGTGTCTCCCTTACTGTACCAGGAATGAGGAGGTGTTGACCTTATCTCTACAAACTCTTATCAGTGCAAAAGACAATTATTTAAAACTGCATAACGACCTTACCCTGTTTCCTGTGCTTTTTCTATCTGACTCTCCACTCCCCCAATAATTTTTAATGTTCTCAGCTAAGGATGATAGTTAAAGTGGTATTTCCAGGAATGACTTAGTTTTCCTAGGTCTCTCCCATGTATAGAGGAGGTATATATGCTATTAAGCTTTTGTTTGTTTTTCTCTTATCAATCTGTCTGTTATTACAAAATGTGTCAGTCAAAAACTGACACAGCTTAAGTTATAGGTTAAATTAGTTTTCCTCCCCTAGAGAACAACAGGCTATACCATACAGCCTAGGTGAGTAGTTGGCCATACATCTGAGTTTTCATAAGTGCACTCTCTGATGTTCCCTCAACTACAAAATGGCCTATGGATGCATTTCTCAGAACATATCCCTGTTGCTAAGCTGTGCCTGACTATATACTTTTCACTGAAAATCTTAAGCAAATACAATCTTAGGTGACAATGACCTACAACTGTGTGCCCCTTGCTTTGTAACAGGAGCAAAGCTTACAACTCAGAGTGGTCCTCAGACCAGGACCTGCAAAATCAGCATTTTCCTGAAACTTATGAGAAAAGCAGATGCTCTGAGCCCACCAGGACCTGCTGAATCAGTATCTGCACTTGAACAAGAATCTTGGGTGATTCATAGTGATGAAAACTAACTGGAATTTAAGCAAACATAACCACTCATAAGGGTCTATGGGAGGAGGTCGGACTAAAAGAAGTTTCTTCACTGTATGTAATCATGAGAACCCTACAGGAAGAATTTTATGTTGATAAAACTCCATGGCTCTAACTTCCCTTTCACTTCTTCCTTTCCCGTCTATAAACAGCCCCCTTCTTGGCACACAGGCCAGAGTGTGCATGTGGCTTGTCATGTCTGCATGCCTGGATTGAAACACTTTTTTTTCCTGAACAAAACCTTTTTGGTGATGAAACACTGAGTCAATATTACATTTGAGTCAAAAATACGCACTTTGAAGTTGGAGAAGGGCTAGTTAGACAAGGATTTTCTTAACTTCTAAATTTGACATAATAATTTGTGTTGGGTCTTTGTATCCCTGGCTGAGAATCACTGCAGTTTGAGGTCTGAAAGCATCATGACAGATTCCAATCAACACCTATTTCTTACTCTGGTTATAACTTTGGGCAGATGACGCCACTTCTTCAAACCCCATTTCTGCAATAGAGAATGAAGGTCATACTTGTACCACCTCAGAGAAAGGACATTTATAGAACTTAAATCAAGCAATACTTATCAGATACAAAACTCAGATTGTATAGTGTAAAATTCTATGTCTCATAATTAACAAAGGTTTTATCACATGTCAACTTTTATCTTCTGATATAAGTATGAAATTCCTCATTGATGTGGCAAATGTGTCATGAAGACAAGGAGTGTACTGCACAAAGCTTTTCATCAAAGTCACACAGTTCTCTCTCTGGTTGAGCAGAGAAATAGCAATTTTCTGAGGCATCACAGTTTGTGCCCCACTCATCAGTGCTCTAAGATCCAAGCGTCCTGGCCAAGTCCATTTCCTCAGTCTCAGACTTTTAAGAAACTTTAACTCACAGTTGGGTAAGGTGCTGGTGGATGAGACCTCTGGCAGTCAGGAGAGTATGGAGAAGGAATAACAAAAACAGGATTCACTTAACTTCTAACCTGGTCCCTTAGAAACAAAATCAGCAGGGAAATTTTCCATTCAGTCCAGACCAGTGTCCCAGAGGGAAATCAGGTGCTCAGAGGTGGGAGTAACAGTAAAAACAGTATCTAATGAGCAGATAAAGGAAGACGTAAACATCTCGTCTGCTGCAGACTCAACATGTGCAACCTTAGGCTGAACAGAACATATTTGTTTCTTTGGAGTCTTCAAAGTGGCTCAGAGACTACTGCTTGACTCCCTCCTGCTCTTTTATCTGAGAACAGAGCTTCAGTCTCCAACAGTAACCATCCAGGGAGCAGCTCCGACTTCTACAAGGATCCCCTCCTTTCAGAGACCCCATCCAGGTGAGTCTGAGAGTGCAGCAGACGCTGTGGGAAAGATTCGGAGGAATGGATCCTAGAATTTCTACCTGAGGTAACCTGAGAGCCTGACCAGGCTTGCTCCGAGCTGAGAGATTACCTATCTGTTTGCTAGGTAGACTAATATATAATGAATTTATTTAGTATGTTAAATTAGATTTTTTTTTTCTAAAAACAGTGCTATTTAGCATAGAATTCCTTTATATGTGTGTAGATGTATTAAGGGAAAATTTATTGGTTTTGTGTGATCAATTCTATCAGTCTTTCATATTGTACCTAAGAGATAAACCAAAGAACTTATATACATACATGCAAAACCAGGGACACAGACATTAGGTTGGGGAAAGCGGGAGGGGGATGGGAGCAAAGAGGAGGGCATCATTGGGGGAAATAAAGGGGACATCTGTAACACTTTCAACAAGAAATATATATATAAATTAATTAAAATATAAATAAATATATGTAAAAAGTTTTACATCTTTCTGACAAAGACATTCTTTTACATTCCATTAATAAACTCTATCCTTTCTCTAAGCATAATCTATTTATGTTTATATAGGTAGAAATTATAACGGTAGATACTGCTTTCTCCACTGCCTTTATTTATTTTAACTTATCTTTATTGTTGAATGTATTACAGATGTTCCTCATCCCCCCCCCCACTTGACAACCTCCTCCCCATTCCTGCCCCCCTCCTGCCTTTCCCCACACTGTTGTCTGTGTCCATTGGTTATGCATATATGCATATAAGTTCTTTGGTTTCTTTCTTCCCACCCCCCAAACCCCCTTCCCTTTGAGGTTTGTCAAACAACCAATTGGTACTTATTAATCCCTTCATCTTTTTCACCCATTCTGCCAACCCTCCTCCTGTCTGACAACCAACAAAAGTTCTCTGTATCTATGGGAATGTTTCTGTTCTGCGTGTTCATTTTGTTTGTAGATTCAGTTGTTGATAGATATGTATTTACTGCCATTTTGTTTATTCAATTTTTAAAATTTAATTTATTTATTTTTGTTACAGATGTTTCTCTTTTTCTCCTACTGACACCCCCTCCCCGCCCTGTCCCCAGCTTTGTTGTCCAGTCCATGGTTCATGCATACATGCATATAAGTACAGTGGTTTATCTCCACCCCGCACCCCTCCTCTAGAGATTCTCAGTCTGTACCCCACTTCCACCTCTCTGGGACTACCTCATTCCTCAGACTGTAATGTTCATTATATTCTACAAATAAGTGAGATCATGTGATATTTGTCTTTCTCTGCTTGGCTTGTTTGGCTTAGGATAATACTCCCCAAGTCCCTCCATGTCGTCTCAAAGAATAAGAGAACTTTCTTTCTTACAGCTGCATAGTACTCATTGTGTATATGTACCACATTTTTAATCCATTTCTCTACTGATGTACATATGGTCTGTTTCCAGATATTAGCTATATAAATAGTGCTGCTATGAACATGGGAGTACATATATTCTTTCTGATGGGTGTTTCAGGCTTCTTAGGGTATATTCCTAAAAGTGGGATCACTGGGTCAAATGGAAGTTCAATTTTTCATTTTTTGAGGTAACACCATAGTGTTTTCCATAGTAGCTGCACCAGTCTGCATTCCCACCAGCAGTGTACTAGAGTCCCCTTTACTCCACAACCTCACCAACACTTGTTGTTTGATGATTTGTTGATGGCGGCCATTCTGACAGGTGTGAGGTGATACCTCATTGTTGTTTTAATTTGCATCTCTCTGATGATTAGTGATGTTGAGCATTTCTTCATATGTCTCTTAGCCATTTGTATGTCCTGTTTGGAGAGGTGTCTATTTGATTCCTCTGCCCATTTTTTAATTGGGTTCTTTGTCTCCCTTTTGTTGAGCTGCATGAGCACTCTATATATATTGGAAATTAACTCCTTATCTAATATATCATTGGCAATTATGCTCTCCCATAGTGTGGTTTGCCCTTCCATTTAGGTGGTTGTTTCTTTTGCTGTGCAGAAGCTTTTGAGTTTAATGTAGTCCCATGTGTTCATTTTCTCCTTTGTTTCTGTTGCCTTAGGTGATGTATCAGTGAAAATTCTGCTGCATATGATGTCTGAAATTTTGTTGCCTACATTTTCTTCTAGGACTTTTATGGATTCATGAGTCACATTTAAGTCTTTTATCTATTTTGAGTTTATTCTTGTGTATAATGTAAGTTGAAGGTCTAGTTTCATTTTTTCTCATGTAGCAGTCCAATTTTCCCAACACCATTTATTAAATAGAATGTCTTTACTCCACTGTATGCTCTTGCCACCTTTGTCAAATATTAATTGAGCATATTGTCTTGAGTCAGTTTCTGGGTTCTCTATTCTGTTCCATTGATCTATCTGCCTGCTCTTGTGTCAGTACCACGCTGTTTTGATTACAGTGGCTTTGTAGTATAAACTGAAATCCGGTAATGTGATTCTTCCAACTTTGTTCTTCTTTTTCAAGATTGCTGTGGCTATTTGAGGTCTTTTTTTGTTCCATGTGAACTTTTGAAGTATTTGTTCTAGTTCTGTGAAGTATGTCGGTGGTATTTTGATGGGGATTGCATTGAATCTATAGATTGCTTTGGGTAGTGTGGACATTTTAATGATGTTAATTCTTCCAATCTATGAACAAGGTATGTGCTTCCACTTTTTTATATCTTCCTCTATTTCTTTTTTCAATGACCTGTAGTTTTCTGTGAATAGGTTCTTTATTTCTTTCGTTAAGTTTATTCCTAGGTATCCTAATTGATTTGCTGTGATAGTAAATGGGATTTTTTTTAGTTTCTCTTTCTTTAACCATCATTGTTGTATAAGAATGCCATCAATTTCTTGACATTACTTTTGTATCCTGCTACTTTGCCAAATTTATTTATTAAGTCTAGTAAATTTTTGATGGAGTCTTTGGGGTTTTCTACATGTAGTATCATGTCATCTGCGAATAATGACAGTTTTACTTTCTCCTTTCCAATTTGGATCCCTTTTATTTTTTCTTAGCTGTGGCTAAGACTTCCAGTACTGTGTTAAATAAGAGTGGTGAAAGTAGGCATCCTTGCCTTGTTCCTGTTCTTAAGGGAAATGCTTTTCATTTTTGTCCATTGAGTATGATGTTGGCTGTAGATCTATCATATATGGCCTTTATTATGTCGAGATATGATCCCTCTATTCCCAGATTGCTGAGCTTTTTTATCAGAAATGGGTGATGGATTTTGTCAAATGCTTCTTCAGCGTCTTGATATGATCATATAATTTTTATCTTTCATTTTGTTTATGTGGTGTATCACATTTATTGATTGGAAATATTGTACCAGCCTTACATCCCTAGGATGAATCCCACTTGGTCATGGTGAACATTTTTGTCATGTATTGTGGGATTCCATTTGCTAGTATTTTGTTCACGATTTTGGTATCTATGTGTCAAATATCCCATCAGGGATATTGGCCTATAGTTTTCTTTCTTTGTAGTGTCTTTTTTTGGTTTTGCAAATAGAATTATGCTGGCCTCATAAAACGAGTTTGGAAGTCTTCCTTCTTCTTGAATTTTTTTGAAATAGCTTGAGGAGAATGGGTATTAGTTCTTCTTTGAATGTTTAGTAAAATTACCCCGTGAAGCCGTCCAGGCCTGGGCTTTTGTTTGCTGGGAGAGTCTTGACTACGTCTTTAATTTCTTCTGTTGTTATTGGTCTGTTCAAGTTTTCTATCTCTTCCCGGTTCAGTTTTGGGAGACTATGTGTTTCTAGAAATTTGTCCATTTCACTTAGATGTCGAATTTGTTGCCGTATAATTGTTCATAATATTTGTTAACAATCCTTTGTATTTTTGTGGTGTCAGTTATTATATCTTCTCTTTCATTTCTGATTTTGTGTATTTATGTTCTCTCTCTTTGTTTCTTGGTGAGTCTACCTAAGGGTCCATCAATCTTGTTTATGTTTTCAAAGAACCAGCAGTTTGTTTCATTGATGCTTTGAATTGTTTTTTTGGTCTCTATGTCATTTATTTCTGCTTTGATCTTTACTATTTCCTTCCTTCTACTTGCTCTGGGGTTTTCTTTTTGTTTGGTTTCTAGTTCTTTAAGTTGTGAGGTTATTAGAAATTTTCTTGTTTCTTGAGGTAGGCCTGTAGTGCTATGAACTTTCCTATCAAAACTCCTTTTGCTGCATCCCATAGATTTTGTCTAACCCATTCATTGTTCAATAACATGCTATTTAGCCTCCATGTTTTCAAATGTCTTTGCATGTTCTTGTTGCAATTGATTTCTAGTTGCATGCCATTGTGATCTGAGAAGATGCTTGATATGATTTCAATCTTCTTGAACTTGTAGAGACTTAGTTTGTGCCCTAACATGTGGTCTATCTTTGAGAATGTCCCATGTGCACTTGAGAAGAATGTGAATTCTTCAGTTTTGGGGTGTAATTCTCTGTAGATATCTATTACATTCATTTAATCTAGCATATCATTTAGAGTCTGTGTTTACTCGTTAATTTTTTTTCTAGAGGATCTATCTAGTGATGTCAGTGGGATGTTGAAGTCCTTTGTTATGATTGTATTGCTGTTGATTTCTCCTTTGAAGTCCTCCAGAAGATTTTTAATATATTTTAGTGCTCCTATATTGGTTGCATGTATGTTTACCAAGGTTATATCTTCCTGTTGGATAGAAAATCCCAATGGCGCTGCTCACAACTAAGACTGCTGCTGTCCCTGGGCTCCCAGCCTGCCACCCTCTCGCACCTCTGCAGATCCTACCAGTGTCCCTGATTATATGGTCCTGTCCTGCTGCTTTTCTGTTGCTTTTTTCTGAGAATTTGTTTTTATTTCAGTTGTAATTCTCGTTTGCTCCAGGGAGATCGTTTGTGTGGCTTCCATTCACTCTGCCTCCATTTTTAAATCCTCTAAGCCTATCTTTTGCATAGCTGGGTTGCCCAGGTGTCTCTGGTGGCCCCGCACCCTGCAGGTCCCACGGGTAACTGGATTTCACAGTCCCTTTGGGACCTGGTTTTATGACTGCCTTATGGGCTGCTGGGTTGCACAGGCCTCTCTGGTTCTTCAGCATCCAGCAGGTCCCGAGGGTAACTGGATGGCACAGTCCCTACTGGGTGGCACAGGCATCTCTGGTGCTTCAGCACCCCACAGAACCCGTGGATAACTGGTTCACATAGTCCCTGCTGGGTGGCACAGGCCTCTCTGGTGCCCCTGCATTCTGCAGGTCCCATGGGCAGGCAGCTGGATCGCACCAGTCCCTCTTGGGCTCCGGCTTACCACTGCTCTTGTCAGCTGCTGGGTCGCATAGGCCTCTGTGCAGCCCCAGGTCCTGCCTCTGGTGGCAAGGGAGTGCTGCTGCCCTGTGGGGCTCAACTCCTGCTCAGCTTTTTTTTTTTAATCCTCATCCGAAGACATTTTTCCATTTTTTGTACAGACAGAGTGGGAGGGAGAGAGAGAAAGAAAGAGAGAGGGAAACATCGATGTGAAAGAGACACATCGAGTGGCTGCCACCCGCATGACCAACCAGGGCCGGGGACAAACTGCAACCGAGGTACATGCCCTTAGCGGGAACCGAACCCGGGTCTCTCTGGACCGCAGGCGGATGCTCTAACCGCTGAGCCAAACCAGCCAGGGCTCCTGCTCAGCTTTTGCTGCAGTTTTTGGGGATGGGTCTCAGCTGCTTGTCTGTGCTTCTGATGCCTGGAGATGGATGTCTGCTCCCCAGCCTCTGTTGCTGGGCATATATCTAGACTCTGATCAGGCTGCTACTATGGGGTATGGTGCTGGGCTCCTGGCTGTCCGTGGCTTCCAGGACCGGCATGTTGGGAGCTCCACTACTGTACACTGGTCTGTGTTGACACAGAGTGTCCACTGGTCCAATGGTGACAGGTGTGCTGGTTGGCTCAGGTTACTGTGCCCTATCCGCTCCCACTGTTCCTCCCAGGGAAGACCCGGGATCTTCCAAAATGGTGAGACCTCCCCACGGCGCAGGGAGAAGCGCCCTGAATAGCCACATACCGCAGTAGCCGGCTGCTCCTGTCCACAGCACAGGAACCTTCTGCTCCACGTCTGTGCACTGTAGGAGTTTGGTCATCCACCTTTAAGTCCACTCACACTCTCTCACACACTAGCTCACTCTCTCACACACTCACCCTTCCTCTGATCCTGCCCCCCGCCATCTTCCAGAATCTTTTTCTGTTTCTTAACCAATTTTTAAAGTTTCTTTAAATAGGGGACACAAAATAGTTATATGAATATAGAGTCCCATGTTTACATGTTGGTGGGAAGTTTAACAACTAAAATTTGATACTATTCCTATGTTCTTCAGGGTAAAGATTATCTGATGTAGACATCATGCCATGCCTTCTATCATTCTTTTTCTAATTATTAAGATGGAGTGATAAAAGCCTGGTGATAACATGGCCCCAGGAAGTCATAGTGCACTCTGGTGTGTGTGTGTGTGTGTGTGTGTGTGTGTGTGTGTGTTGTGTGTTATGGGGCAGTTTGACTGGGACCATATACTCCAAAATGTGTCCCTTAAAATACAGATGCCAAAATATTAATCAATACATGAAGAAAAAAAGATATCCATTACTATATACAATATTTTTTGGAAACAATATTAACCAAGTGCATAGAATGACATGTGAACAAGAGATTCTTTGTGTCTTCAAGTTTCTGTAGCAGCCAGGAGGCCACCTCATTCCTCCACATTCTCTGACACCATCTGTTATTGCTCCCCTCTTGCTGATTTTCCTCACCATGATGAATCCTTTTGAGTCTTGAATATCTAAAACAAATGTCATCTCAGGACCTTTCCAGTGATGTTCTGCACACCTCCAAGTCTCCCACTCTGTCTTCCTTGAGGTCTCTGTTAAATGTCACCCTGTTTTCAGGACTTCCTGAACTACCAGGATGGTAGTTTACTCTCTTTTATATATTTTCTAAACAAAAAACATTTTGTCTTTATTGTTTAAAATATTATAGATATCTCTCCTAAAGTCCCCCATTGATTCCCTCCTCTCCATTCCTACTCCCCTCCTGCTTTCCCCAAAGTATTGTCTGTGTCTATTGGTTGTGCATTTTGCATATAACTTCTTTAGTTTATCTCTTTTCTTCACCTTAAAACTTCTGACATGGTATATATAATACATATTTTGTGTATATGCTTTCGTCATCATTATATTTTAAGGATTTTGTTTCTCAGCATCCTATACCCTTTCTCTAGAGAAGGACAGGACTCAACATATATCCCTAAAGGGCATGAAAACATTACTCACTAAAACTGTGTAATTTGTGACCACCATGGAGAAAAGATCTGAGGTGAACAGAGATATCATGGGGAGGAGGTGTGTATAAGGGGATGTTATGTACAAAAAGTAGATATTGATTACTGTAAAATATAATTGTAGCATTTCAACTACATAAGTAATGGCTATTTGTGTAAAACTAATCATGCTATTTTTTTCTTTTCTACTAGTTACCTCCACCACATGGGACCAAGCAATGATACCCCAATTTCAGAATTTCTTCTTCAGGGACTTTCAGAGGAACCAGAACTGCAGTCCCTCATATTTGGGCTTTTCCTCTCCATATACCTGATCACAGTGTTGGGAAACCTGCTCATCATCTTGGCTGTCATCTCTGACTCCCACCTCCACACACCCATGTACTTCTTCCTCTCCAACCTGTCCTTGATAGACATCTGTTTCACCTCCACCACTGTCCCAAAAATGCTGTGGAACATCCAGACACAGAGCAAAGTTATCACATATGCAGGCTGCATCACCCAGATGTATTTTTTTGTATTGTTTACAGGACTGGACAATTTCCTCCTGACCGTGATGGCCTATGACCGATTTGTGGCCATCTGTCATCCCCTGCACTACACGGTCATCATGAACCCTTGGCTCTGTGCACTGCTGGTTCTGGTGTGCTGGATCATGAGTGTCCTGAATTCCTTGTTACAAAGCTTAATGGTATTGCTGCTGTCCTTCTGTTCAGAGTTGGAAATCCCCCACTTTTTTTGTGAATTGAAACAGGTGGTCCAACTTGCCTGTTCTGACACCTTTCTTAATAACGTTGTGATATATTTAGTAACTGTGCTACTGGGTGGTGGTCCCCTCTCTGGTATCTTTTACTCATACTCTAAAATAGTGTCCTGCATACATGGAATGTCGTCAGCTCAAGGAAAGTATAAAGCATTTTCTACATGTGTGTCTCACCTTTTAGTTGTGTCCTTATTTTATGGCACAATCATAGGTGAGTACCTCAGCTCTGCTGTTACCCACAGTTCACATTCAAGTGGAACGGCCTCAGTGATGTACACGGTGATTACACCCATGCTGAACCCTTTCATCTACAGTCTGAGGAGCAAAGACATAAAGAGAGCTCTGAAAAGATTCTTTGAGAATGCAGATACGAAAGGGATAATTATCCTGAGAAAGAAATAAAAGTACCCTTGATTTCAGGGCTTCAAGATGCAAAATTCAACATTGTGATTCTTTAATCAGACTGTGATTTTCAAACTTGTTCCTTTTATTTCTGCCCTTGAATTCCTTTGTTTGTGTCAACTTCTCTATACAATTTAAGTAACCATTTTATTAAGCTTTCTGCTTTTTCTATTGTATAGACAGTTATTCCCTTCATCCTTTCTCCTACCTTCACAAGGTTTTTTCCAACCTTGATCAGAAATATTTGGAAGTTTTCATTTACTTCACTGGCAACACTTATGTCTTAAGAATAATTTCTTCTCAAATAATGTATATCATTGTAAGTAATTTGTTCATGTTTTGTAGGTAGACTAGAATAAGTGGTATTGCTCACGTGGAAAAAACTTCACTTGGCTACTTAATCCATTACCTAATGTCATTCCATAAAAATCTGAAACCTCAGTTTTCACCTTGTGTCTCATTGTTTGCACATCAGTAACTTAACTGCTCTTCCTCATAATGTAGTCTTTATGATTGTTTCCTATAAGTCTCAGTCTATTGATAGTGATGCAACAGGGTAGAAATGCCTGGGCACAGGCATGGGTTCTACTATTTTTTCTTCAGACTGGAGTCAATGTTGTGGCTGGATGTGCCCTGTGGTCCTTATTATAATTACAACCACCATGATGGAAATATGAGAATGTAAGGTTTATTACTCATAGGTGCAACATGCCCAAAAGCTGCACAGGAATGTGTGTGTGTGTGTGTGTGTGTGTGTGTGTGTGTGTGAGTGAGAGAGAGAGAGAGAGAGAGAGAGAGAGAGAGAGAGAGAAAACAAACTTAAGAGTGAAGGCTATGGTTGTATTGGGGTTCAAGGGATGGATGACTAGAGTTTTGTGGGTTTGCTTTTTACTAAAACGTAAGAGTAGGAAGTAGGGCAAGGAGAGAAAATGCAGCATCACCTATGTGGTCCATTATCTAATCTAGGTTGCTCAAGGTTGTCTGAAAGGGGAATGTTAGGAGATGAAAGATGGTGGCAGAGTAGGTGAAAGCAACACAACCATTCTCCTGGCACATAGCCAGAGTTACAGCTAAAATTAAGAGCAGTTAACCTGAATTAATAGCAGAAGGATACTTGAACTGAAGTATCATAACCAAGAATTGAAAAATAAGAACCTACACAGAGACTGGTAAGAAGAGAAAGATGCCAAAAGGGCTGGTCCCTGCAGCCAGATGCAGTGGCTATGAAGCTGAAGAAATAGTGCAGTTACGAAACCACCCCAGAGGAAAGTTAGGTCTCCATCCCACACCAGGAGTCCCAACCCAGAGCACCAGGGCCAGGGAGAAGAGCCTGCATAACATTTGGTGACAAAATTTAATAGGGACTTTGTTCACCGGAAAAAAAGGAGCAAGTCTGCTTGAATCTCTGGGAATCTCCTTAAAGGCTAACACAAAGTCTCACTCTCAGGCACTCAACAGGGGCTCTGGTAGAGGGAAGGAGACTCAGGGTGTACAGAAGCCATAAGGAGAAGATCTGGGTGGCATACTACTAGAGATCAGAAAGGTAGGCTTCTGAGGTCACAGTCCTGAGCCAACGTCCCACACCACCCTCACATGACATCTCTCAGGGTCTAGCACTTCTGTTTTCACAGCACAAGCTAGATAAATTGCACTAACCCTGTCCTCTAAATACTGGTGACTCCATCCTGCCAAGCTTGAATCCGGCATAAAAGATATTTGGCTATACCCATAAGTGATCTAAGATGAGCTTTTTTACTGGAGAAACTATAGACAGTGTCAGACATACACTGACCTGAGTGGCTTGGGAACAGAAGTCAAGCTTCTTAGCCTCACTGGCTAGGCAGGTTCCATTCCCAATGGCAAACACTCTTCAGGGAGCTCAGGCAGCAAGCAGCTGTGAGGTGTGCACTTGCAAGCCTCCCTTCAGGGTCCCTGGCAGGGTGCCTCCAAGCTAGAAAGCAAGATAGAGACCGTAAGTTACCTACAAGGGAGTTCCCATTAGACTGTCAGCTAATTTTCAATAGAAACACTGCAGGCAAGAAGGAAGTAGCATGAAGTATACAAAGTAATGAAAAGCAAAGGTCCAAATACAAGACTATTCTATCCAGCAAGACTACCATTCAAAATTGAAGGTGAAATAGAGCTTTACAAACAGAAAGGGGCTAAGAAAATTTACAAACACGATTCAAGCACTGCAAGAAATGTTAAAGGAACTGTTTTGTTTTGTTTTTAAATAAATTTATTTAGTTTTGTTACAGATGTTTCTCCTTTTTCCACCACTAATTTCCCCTCCTCCACCCTCCCTGCCCTGTCCCCAGCTTTGTTGTCCATGTCCATTATTCATGCATACATCCATATAAGTTCTGTGGTTTATCTGGTTTATCTCTCCCCCACCACCCCTCTTCTGGGGATTGTCAGTCTGTACCCCACTTCCACGTCTCTGGGACTACCCCATTCCTCAGACTGTTATGTTCATTATATTCCACAAATAAGTGAGATCATATGATACTTGTCTTTCTCTGTTTGGCTTGTTTCACTTAGGATAATGCTTTCCAGTTCCCTCCATTTCGTCTCAAAAGATAAGAGATCTTTCTTACAGCTGTATAGAACTCCATTGTGTATATGTACCATTGGTTTTTTTTTAAATTTATTCATTTTGTTATAAATGTTTCTCCTTTTCCCTCCACTGAACCCCCTCCCCCACCCTCCCCACCCAGTCCCACCTTTGTTGTCCATGTCCATTGTTCATGTATACATGCATATAAGTTCTGTGGTTTATCTCTCTGCCACCACTCCCTCTTCTGGGGATTGTCAATCTATACCCCCTTCCCACGACTCTGGAACTACCCCATTCCTCAGACTGTTCTGTTCATTATATTTCACAAATAAGTGAGATCATATGATAATTCTCTTTCTCTGTTTGGCTTCTTTTGCTTACGATAATAATTTCCTTTTTATTAATTTATTTATTAATTTTTGTTACAGATGTTTCTCCTTTTCCCCACTGATTCCCCCCTCCCCTTCCCTCTCCACCATGTCCTCAGCTTTGTTGTCCATGTCCATTGTTCATGCATACATGCATATAATTTCTCTGGTTTATCTCTCCCCCATCACCCCCTCTCCGGGGATTGTCAGTCTGTACCCCACTTCCACCTCTCTGGGACTACCCCATTCCTCAGACTATTATGTTCATTATATTACACAAAGAGTGAGATCATATGATACTTGTCATTCTCTGTTTGGCTTGTTTCGCTTAGGATAATACTTTCCGAGTCCCTCCATGTTGTCTCAGGATAAGAGATCTTTCTTACAGGTGCATAGTACTCCATTGTGTATATGTACCACAGCTTTTCTATCCATTCATCTACTGATGGACATTTGGGCTGTTTCCAGATATTAGCTATTGTAAATAGTGCTGCTACAAACATGGGGGTACATATATTCTTTTTGATTGGTGTTTCAGGCTTCTTAGGGTACATTCCTAGAAGTGAAATCACTGGGTCAAATGGCAGTTCAATTTTTAATTTTTTGAGGTAACACCATATTGTTTTCCATAGTGGCTGCACCAGTCTGCATTCCCACCAGCAGTTTACTAGAGTCCCCTTTTCTTCACAACCTCGCCAACACTTGTTTGATGATTTGCCGATGGCGGCCATTCTGACAGGTGTGAGGTGATACCTCATTGTTGTTTTAATTTGCATCTCTGTGATTGTTAGTGATGTTGAGCATTTCTTCATATGTCTCTTAGCCATTTGTATGTCCTGTTTGGAGAGGTGTCTATTCAGCTCCTCTGCCCATTTTTTTAATTGGGTTCTTTGTCTTCCTTTTGTTGAGTTGTATGAGCACTCTATATATTTTGGAAATTAACTCCTTATCTGATGTATCATTGGCAATGATGTTCTCCCATACAGTGGGTTGCCTTTCCATTTTGATGGTTGTTTCTTTTGCTGTGCAGGAGCTTTTGAGTTTGATGTAGTCCCACGTGTTCATTTTTTCCGTTGTTTCTGTTGCCTTAGGTGATGTATCAGTGAAAATTCTGCTGCGTATGATGTCTGAGATTTTGTTGCCTACATTTTCTTCTAGGATTTTTATGGATTCATGAGTCACATTTAAGTGTTTTATCCATATTGGGTCTATTCCTGTGTATGGTGTAAGTTGATGGTCTAGTTTCATTTTTTTGCATGTAGCTGTCCACTTTTCCCAACAGCATTTATTGAATAGAATGTCTTTACTCCACTGTATGCTCTTGCCACCTTTGTCAAATATTAATTGAGCATATTACCTTGGGTCCATTTCAGTGATCTCCGTTCTGTTTTACTGGTCTATATGCCTGTTCTTGTGCCAGTACCAGGCTGTTTTGATTACAGTGGCTTTTTAGTATAACCTGAAATCTGGTAATGTGATCCTTCCTACTATGTTCTTCTTTTTCAAGATTGCTGTGGCTATTCAGGGTCTTTGTTGGTTCCATATGAACTTTTGAAGTACTTGTTCTAGTTCTGTGAAGTATGTCATTGGTATTTTGATGGGGATTGCATTGAATCTATAAATTGCTTTGGGTACTATGGACATTATAACGATGTTAATTCTTCCGATCCATGAACAAGGTATGTGGTTCCACTTTTTTATATCTTCCTCTATTTCTTTTTTCAACGACCTGTAGTTTTCTGCGAATAGGTCCTTTATTTCTTTGGTTAAGTTTATTCCTAAGTATCTTAATTTTCTTGGCGTAATGGTAAATGGTATTGTATTTTTAGTTTCTCTTTCTGTGAGTTCATCATTGGTGTATAAGAATGTCGACTTTTTGACGTTAATTTTGTAACCTGCTACTTTGCCAAATTCATTTATTAAGTCTAGGAAATTTTTGATGGAGTCTTTGGGGTTTTCTAGGTATAGTATCATGTCACCTGCAAATAATGTCATTTCACTTCCTCCTTTCCAATTTGGATCCCTTTTATTTTTTCCTCCTGTGTGATTGCTGTGGTTAAGACTTCCAGTACTCT